CATTAGAAGAAAAGAGGCAATGCCATTATTTTAGAAAATGAGAATTGCAGATAACCGTTCTTGCAGCTCAGCGGCCTCCGATGCCGCCTCTCATATGGAGTTTTCCTCGGCCGTTTAGCTATAGACGCATCCTGTTTTTGCTTTTTTGTCCCGCATCATACGGCAGGAAATGCCGGGAAGATCATGAGCGGGCGTCAAATTGAGTGATGCGAGGTGATGATCGCGTCAGGCCAAAAATCCGGGTGGAGGGTTTCTCAGGAGACGAATTTCGTGATCAGCGACTCAAGGATATCTATCGAAATTATCACACGCACATCTTAAGTTCTCAAAGGAGACCTAGTTACCCAACTTCAAGCGCACGCAACACATGCCTATCTTTCAAGATTAAAGACACATCAGTGCACTAGACAAACTGCTTAACGAATAAAGATAGACATGACCGGATACTAGTCTATGCCCCGGCACCGAGGATCGACAGTCCTCCGCACGGAAGCTCATCCGCGTGCTCCGGAACCCACTCCGGGATCCTTCTCAATTCTCCGTAATGCGATTCCAAGTCAGGTCTGGTCGCAGATGTAGCTCGATCCCCACTGAGAGTTTCCCCCTTGCAGCTATCCTGTGGCAGAGCACCGATGTCCCCAAACTTGAAATAAGCAACAAAGCCCGGTCACCTCGTGGTCCCGAATGCCCCATACGTGCTCTCAAGCTGCCCTCTCAAGCCTCCAACAACAATAGGACCCGAGATCATTCCAACTCAAAGCTTCCAAGACTTGTGCTTCTCCCGAGCTCGCCCAACTCTTAAGCTCCCAGATCGGCGCTGAGATCGTCCGAGGATGCGGTCCATGCGCCGAGACAGCAGCGACAGAACCTTGCGGGACTGTGCGGCTGCGTGTCCCTTGAAACCAAACACCGCCCATCAGCTGTCACGCCAGCGGGTGTGAGCACAGCGCCCCAAGCTCTTGAGCTCATCTTTTGGTGTCTCGATAGGCGTTTCGCGGGCATAGCCAAGATACGTCCGTCCAGTATGCCTGGTCTGCGACACCATGTGTTGGGCCGCTTGTCGGCTTCCCTTTTCTTTGAGCTTCCCCGTCGCTAGTTCGTTTAGTCCTTGGAATATCTCCAGAATTTAATCCAACTAGAACAAATCGCATTGTCAGCAGGAAGCTTGTCTCTACAGCGATGAGTGCATCCTCATCTACCATGGCTACCGCCAACGATTCCTTTTCCAACCAGTCCTCTTGGGGGCCCCTCGAGACACTGCAGGCATTCCCAAGCCCGTTAGAGAAGCCAGTACCATACTTCATCACAGCATTCTTGCTCTTCGTCTTCTACTTCTCCATACAACAAGCAGAGCAAACGCCCCACACAGATCTGCCCATTGTTAATCCCAAGCACAAGTGGGATTTCACAGGGCTGAAAGTCAAGTATGACTTCATCACAAAGGTCCGGAATATCGTGTTGGAGAGGGCGAAAACGAACCCCGATGAGCCCTACCAGGTATTGACGGACATGGGAGATATGACGATCCTTCCTGCCGTGCCCTTTGCCAACGAGATCCGTAACCACGAGGACCTCAGCTTTGACCGTGTTCTTGACAAGGTAAGTACTCGCTCGCATCAGACAAGCTTCAATGGTCCATACTGATTGTGGTGCAGAATTTCCATGCCCAAATGCCGGGTTTCGAGCCTTTGAAGGAGAACAACGCGCAAAAGGCTGTCCTCAAATATGTAATCCGAACAAGACTGACCCAGTTCCTCTGTAAGCCCGAAAAATGCTATGCTGTTGTGTTGGACTCAAGCTAATTCCTTGCAGCAAAGCTGACATCTCCCGTTTCCGACGAGGCAACGCTGTCACTGACCAATGTTCTAGGAGAGGACAAGGGTAAGATCTCCAGTATAGCGTCACTGGGACGACCTGCTAACAGAACACAGAATGGTCGACCGTGGTCATCAAGGAGAACATGCTCAGAGTCGTAGCCCGTGTGTCCACCCGCGTCTTCGGCGGCGAGGAACTCTGCCGCAACCAGGACTGGATCAAGATTACCTCCGAATATGCCCGAACCAGCTTTCTCGCCTCAGAGTTCCTCCGAATGTTCCCCAAGTCTCTGCGTAACCTCGCCCACCAAGTCCTTCCCATCTGTCGTCAGCTCCAGGCGCAGGTCAAAGAGGCCAGAGAAATCATCAACCCCATCGTGGAGGAGCGCCGCAAGGAGAAGAAGGCAGCTTTGGATCGCGGCGAAGAGGAGCCTGAGTGGAACGACTGTCTCGACTGGTGCGAAGAAGCATCCGACGACGCCAAGTCGGACCCTGCGATGATGCAGCTTGGACTTTCGTTCGCCGCTCTCCACACCACGTCCGATCTTATCACGCAGGTTATGCTCGACCTTGCCAAGTACCCCGACTACTTCGAGCCGCTTCGCAAGGAGATTAGCGACGTGATCCGCACCGACGGCTGGGCTCGCATGGGTCTCTACAAGATGCGCCTCCTGGACTCCTTCTGCAAAGAGACTCAACGCCTTCACCCCATCGGCATCGGTAAGTTCGTGGTTGACCTCTTTGGTAGCTATCACTAATACGGACATTGCCTAGTTGCCATGCACCGCGAAGCCACCAAGCCCGTGACCCTCTCCAACGGACTGGAGCTCCCGGAGGGCAGCCGCATCGCTGTCAGCTGTCAAAGAATGACCGATGGTTCCGTCTACTTGGACCCCAGTCGCTTTGACGGATACCGTTACCTGCGCATGCGTGAGTCCCTTGGCGCCGGAAACGATGGAGCCGCGCACTTTGTCAGCACCTCGCCCGAGCACCTTGGCTTCGGCCACGGGCAGCACGCTTGCCCTGGACGTTTCTTTGCCGCCAACGAGGTCAAGATCATTCTCTGCCACCTCCTTCTTAAGTACGACTGGAGACTGGCGGCGGAACAGCAGCCTAACACGATCAACTTTGGATTCACCATGGAGGTTGACCCCAAGGCTAAGCTCGAGATCCGGCGGAGGACCGGTGACTTGGGCCTCAAGGCATGAGGGGGTTCCGTGCGCGGCGGTTGGGGACACACGCATCCGCGGGCATACTTGCATGTGTGATTTATTTCTGGTTAGGCATGCATTTGCTGGGTTTCACTGGGCTCCTGTAATCAAGGTCGGACGATGGTCATAGCAATGAGCCAAACAGATTGGATTAGCTAGGCGTTGAATGCATTCTTTGGAATCAGACTATCAGCATTTGCATCCATTTCCTCACGAAGGACTTGACAACCTTAATTACTCCATATATGGCATTTCGTACCCGATTGTTTAGGAACAAGTTTCAACATCAGGCAACCGCCCTGGAAAGATAATCAAATCAAATCGCAGCGTGGTATCGTCTGATTTCTCTTGGAAACATCATCTCACCTCCGGCCTGCTTCTTGGATTCACGCAAGGATTCATCCTGTCTACGGCCCGCAAGCAAGTATTTCGCCACGTTGCGCCAACAGACTCACTGTTTCGTCATGTTCCGTCTGGTGGACCTCTCGAATATTCCGAACATCGACACAGTTTACCCGCTTTTGAGCCCCCGCCTGAAGCTATGAATGAGAATCCGTCAGTGCATCAACTCTCTGCACACGTTGGATGATCGTGTCGCCTCGGCAGACGATGAGCGTCCAACCTTTGACGCAAAACGTGGGAAACGGCAGTCTTTCTCGTCAATCGCCATCTTTCTCTGGTTCTAGATCGTCTGAGTCTCGTACCCTTTCCATGAATCTAGGTTCTGAGTAGTATGGCCGAGGCAATCTCGGCCCTGAAAATTGATATAGCGCCTTGGGGGCCAACTTTCAACGGCGCTCGAGATATTCCTTCCATTCGTTTCTAAATAAACTTTCACCCGTTAAGAACTAGCTACAAACTCCTCGGTCCGTAGCATGACTTGCCTTGCCTGTCTGCAGCCATCACTCGGCGAGTTCATATAGGATCTATGAACCATCAACGCTTGCACGATAACCTTATCTCATCCTTTAACCGTCTGATGCAGAGCTGCTTGGCAATGACCCTCCCTCCCTGCTTGGAGGAGGGTTCTCTTAAGCCTTCGCCAGCCTAAGTTAGGAAAACGGGGGCAGGGTTGAGCAATGACTTATCAAAGTGATAATCCGGGAGGATCACGTCTGAGAGTAAGGAACTCGTTCAATGGAAGGTCAAGAAGCCAGACCCGGTGATTCGCAGCAATATTGATTGTACTGTGACTGCAAGGAACAATCCATTAACCTAGTTCAGAAGGCCTTTGAGCGATTCCATCTGTTTCAATTCTTCCAGAAGGTCCGTGAAGTCTTTGACTCCGTGCTTTTCGCTCATCTCCTTGAAATACGGCAGTTGCCGCTTGAGCCACGCCTCCTCGTGGCCAGCGTCGGGAATAGCCATCCCGCCCTCCCTGATCGCCAACATCGGCGTAAACACGACCATCAAAAGCCGTTTTGCTTCATCAAATTCGGCCTCTTGACCCGGCTCTTTGACAGCACCATTCCAAGCGTCTTCGATCTTAGCTGACAGTGCGTCAAAGTCATCTTTCGTGCGAGAAGCCGAGGTTCGAACTAACGCAACGATGCGATTCGAGTTGCTGGTGTGCGACTTTCCAGCCATGAAGTAGGTTCCGTCATCGGACTTTGGCTCTTGTTTGATGAAGTTGACATGGACGAAAAAGGCCGGTGTACTGAAGGTGCTGCAGTGAAGATTGGTGATCGACAGGGCAATGGATTCCCGCTGTTTCTTGGTGAGAGGATAGGTATGGTAAATCTGGTAGAAAGGCATGATGTAGACACGATGATCAAAGACTGAGGTGTATTCACGGTGTAGTGCTTAGAAGTCCGGAAGAAAGCTGAGCATGGGTTCAAAGAAGGGTATCTGACTCTCAATGTCAACATTATTTGGCGATGCATCGAATAAGGGATTGGCACGTTTTTATCTCTTGTCAACACCTGGCTATCATTATTTACCCTAAGATTAAGCTAGATCAGTAATCTGATCACATCCCATGAGGGGTCTTGAACGTCGAAGGGCGTATATCGACGTCACAACTATGTACTTTGCGGGGTCAAACGACCCAGGTCGCTCTACAGCAACACGCAGATCCCGCCGGCCCGATCCCGACGCAGGCCGGTTGGTGGAAGACTAGCACGAGACCGACATTCAAGGGTACAGCCGGCGACCTGTAGCTACTGGGCGAAGAATACCCTCTTTTTCAAGATCACTAACCAGATTGGCGAGATGATAATCGCATCCCCTTGCCATTCTCAGAGCCATTGTTACTGGAAGATATTCCGTATGCAACGATTTGGTGCTGTTGTAAGGGACCTCTCCGATAGGAACCACTACTTCCGGCGCACCGGCCATGACCGGGACGGAAGAGTCGTCAAAGCCCAGCGGCGGTGTAGTTCGGGCCTGGATGTATACATCGCGATAGGATGGCTGGCCCACAGACCAGGGGTAGATGTAGAGTCCCTCAGAGCATGACTCGGGGTCATGTCGTCCATAACCCTCAGTCTCGTACCAAGATCTGAAGAGGGAAATGTTGTGAAGACCTTGTGCGTAGACTTCTTCTGTCGAATGGACCTGGCCCCATTGCCATCTGGCGAGGGGTCCTGGGTTGATGTATGGCTGACGCCCTTCAAACTTGGCTGCGTAGTCCTCGAAGAATGGCTTGCCGAGTTCTTGCCACTGATCATGGGAGACGTAGACGCCGTAGGTGAGGTAAAGCATCTCGTTGACATCTGCAGGTGCTTCTCCATGAGTTTCGCTCCAGAGCTTCGTGTAGTTTGCCGGAGTTGAGTTGGCTTGCAAAAAGCTTTCCAGCTTTCCTACGAAGCTCGTGATGACATTGGTGGCTTCCTCGCTGACGTTTCCCCCAGACCAAGCGCCTCCCCTAGCCGTTGATCGGTAGAGAGCCGCGGGGTAGGAAGTGTAGTTGGAAGCAAAATCAGGGTACCAAGCCTGCGTGACCTTGGCCCAGAGGCTGCCACTGCGAGCGAACATTCCGGCGGTATCTGAGACAGGACTCAAAGGGATGACATGCTCGAGGGAAATAGCGCCCGTGGATGGTCGGTTTCCGAAGAGGCCTTGGGATCCTGCCGGGCCACGCATGGAACCACCAGTGTCGCTGCCGACAGCAAGATCAAGCCAGTCGTACGCACTTACTCCGGCCCCCGGCCCGGTGGACGAGCCGCTTGGGTCCTGATATCCGTCACCTCTGGGGTTGAAAGGTGCGTGGAGATCAACCCAGTCGGCGGTGGGACGATCACCGTTGGCAAACTGGACAGTTCCCATTTTGCCGACGAGAACGGCGCCAAGGTCGATGAGTCGTTGTACCGCCGGCGCAGTGTTGTTCTGTCGTCCGTATAGGTAGAAGTAAGCCCGATTTCCTCCACTTGTGCCTACCCCCTTGACGTGGAAAATGTCCTTGACTCCGAAGCGGAGGCCGGCGAGGGGTTGGTCCTTAGTCTCAGTGTAATACAGCCGTGAGGGAACCGCGATGCTCTTTGCCATGACATTCTCAGTAACGGCAGGGAGGGTAGTAAAAGCACCCTCTTTATCGCTGATTACACCTTGTACAAACGCGAGGTGATCGTCGTCGTACAGCCGGTAGGCTTTGTAGATATTTCCGGTGTGAGCCGAGACGAAGTAGGGTCCCCGAGGAAGGCTTAAGACAGTAACACCAGTTGCGATGCTGCTTGTAAGGCCACGTATCTTCTTGGATGATAGAACCAAGGAGGTGCCCTGTCGTGATAGTTGAGAATCGAGAGAGGTAGTACCGTTGAACCCAGCAGTGGCATTAGATGGGCTTGGGCGGAAATAGATCGCATGTAGAAACGCAGATTGAAAGACGTCATCCGTGCTATTGTACGTGGTTATGATGTTCAGAAGCTCATCTCCCGAGGGGATGCTACTCCGAGTCTCGATGACGGTGAGCGGGAACAGGTCTTGGCCGGGAATCTGAGCAGCGGCGAGCGAGAAACTCGAGCCGTTCGTAGTGTAAAGTTGGCCTACAGCAATCCCGCCGGCATAGTAAGAGATGCCATTGAAACTCAACACTTGACCCTGGTTGACGAAGTTGGCGCTGGCGAGGTGGAAAGAAGCCAGGATAAGAGCCAAGGACCGCATTCTATGGAACACAGCTGCGAGCCGGTAACTGTTGCTGGTTGACTTCGGTGCAGTGACTCAGGCACTGGCTCTTCTGCTGGCAACATCGCGGCCTCAATAGTGCCGTCTTATATGTGATCAGCATCAAACAAACTCTTTCAAAGAATTCACTCACTTGATTTCTGTGTGTCACCAACATTCTGACTATCAAGAACATCAAGATGATAACCCGACATCGATAAGACGCCGGCCGTGTTCAATGTTCCTTATCAAAACTTGGAGAATTCACCTTTGGAGAATAGCGTCTTTTAGTGCCGAAAGCGGCCCCAACCTCTCCACATAGTCGGGTCCGAATCCCTGGCTGTGGACGGAGGTAGTGGTCTTTATTTCCACGCAGAGTGACAGTCTGGCTGTCGGTCAAGGATGACGCGGTGCCGACTGTCAGCAAACCTCATTGGCGCAGCTCCGCTGCTGTCATCCGTGTTGTGCAATTGGTCGTACGAGCATCGGGGTAAACCCCAACCTCCAAGATCCTTTTCGCTGCATACGATGTCCAGGAGGAATTCTTGAGATAAGAGGGAAGCGAGACCGATATTCGGATCAAAGGATTGGACTGAGGCTTTGATACACTAAGCTAGTGACTTGAGGTCCGGCAGATTAGACATGCATGCTCTTGGGACGATTGAGAATTTGGGCTAGCCCGTAAATGCGGGTTGCTCTTTGAGCCATGACTGGCTTGAGGACGATGTGATAGCGGATGATCGTAAAGATTGGCAATGTTCTTTACACTCATAACAAATTTAGACAGTCTTCCTCCAGAGTATCCGTCGCCCCAGTTTCACTTCTTAGACCCGTCTGAACAATTGCAACTTGCGCGACCTCATAAGTATCGTAGCATCCACCAAGCCTTCCCTAAGTCCTAGTAGCAAGATCAGAAGCAGACCTTGTAATCTTGTAGATCTGATGGTCGCAATTCTCGTCATGTATGTGCTCTTCAATAGGATGACATTCCGCAATGTTGTGCTTGTGTTTCAAGCATGGGAGTAGCCGACCACCGTGGTTATTCTGGGGGCAATATTTTGCGTCGTTCTTCAATCGCCAGAGAACAGACTCGTGGAGAACAGCATCTTTGGGAATGTCTCGCGTGCTGCCTTTGTTGAGCGGGAAACGAACATTCTCCCAGCCACTATCCTCAAGCTCCCACCGAGTGATGAAAGGCAGCCATTCTATTGGAACGAGTTAGTATTATCGTCGTAAAGAGGCAGTAGATAAGACTTGGTCTTACCCATGAGCTTCCACAGAAGAACGCGGAAGAAGCTTGTACCACGGCCATACGCGAGTGAATCGTGGATGACACCCATCGTGGCCTTATCTTTCTTCTTCGCGAATCGCTTCTCAAAGACCTCGAGGTTCTCGCGCCATTTCAGTGCCGCAACTTCCTCTTTTTGACCAACAAGCTTCACCTCGCGGATCATCCAAGCAAGTGGGACGTCGCTCAGTTGAAGCCGGTCGCAGCCCAGAGCCTTGCTAGCTGCCTTTTCCTTCCGCGTCGTCCAGAAGTTCTTGACGCGCTCCCAAAAGGTCATCTCGATGCCATTGTCGAGCTTACTTTCGGCAGAAGCAGGCCATCCACCGCCAACGTCACCGTGGCAGCCAGGAAACCAGACCTCCTTGATGTCTTCATGGGTGTGGTCAGACTCCTTCATGTCTTGGGCTAGCAGAGCTGCCTTGAACTTGACGCGTCGCTCATCCACTGCGACAGCGTGGCGCACATGGTGAGCGGTGCCAACGACGGGCACGGGTACCGGTGCAGTCCGCTCCAAGACAGCGACGGAATTGACGCAGTCCCAGATGCCGAGGAAGAAGACCTTGATGTTGGACTCCTCCATCTTTCCGCAGTGCATCGCCTTCTCCTTGCGACAGAACGTGTCGCTAAAGGCAGCAATCTCATCTCTGGCGACTGCGTACTTGGCCCCGTGGGTTGCAGGGTCCTCATCCTCGCGGTGGCCCTCATGCAATGGCTCTTCGTCTTCTAGCTCAGGTGGTGGTGTCGGTACGTCCCCATTGGCGGGAGCTTTCTTGTTCTTCTTGTTCTTCTTGTCCTTCTTGGATTTCTTGGGGTGGGACACAATGAAGTCTTCGACTTCACCAGCCAAGTAGCGTTGATAGAGACGGTATGCGAAGGGAACCATCTCCTCGTTTCCCTTGCAAAGAAGTCCAACAGTATGGACCATGCGAGCAAGGAACTTGGCAGTGAAGGCGCCACGGCTGAATCCAAACATGTAGATTTTGTCACCCTTCATCACACTCTCATTAGCCGCCAAGCACCTCAGGTAGTTAAGGTGAGTGGACTTACAGAATCGTAGTAACGCATCAGGAAACGGTAGCCCGCCATGACATGTGCATCGAAAGTTGTTCCAATTCCTTGGTCGATAGTCTGCGAGATGGAAGATTTGAATTCACCAAATACACCCTTGTTAACAGACTCATCATTGATGTCGTATGTGCCGATACCAGCTAGACGGATACGTGTGTCAGCGGGAGCAACAGTCGAGAGTGTACGGAAGTCAGCTCACTCTGATAGTAATGGTACTGATCGGGATCGTTGCGATCGAGCTTGCTGAGAATCTTGACCACGTTTGTGTCGGAGTTGGAACCGGTGAAGGTGTTACCGGTGCCGTCGAAGCACAAAACTAGCTTCCTGGGGGTTCTTTTATTCTCTGACTCTTGACTGGCATTGCCATTGAGGGTAGAAAAGTCGGCCATAATGACGATGTAAAAACAAGCATGCAACTGAAGAGTAAGACGTTCAACTAATTTTCAATGGAATCGTGCTTTCATGTAGGTATGAAATTAATCTTACGCTGAAAAAGCCGTACTGGGCTGGTCTAGTAGCACTCATAACTGCCGAAGGCCTCGATATATGTCTTGATATATCAACGCCTGAGGATACGTGCAGTCATCTGTACCTACCTTCCGCAACTCTATGGTTACCATAACAGCCATCTGGGTACCAATCAGGTCTAGAGCGCGGCATTTCTCGCCAGGTACACTACTAGAAAGAATCTTGTCTCAAGGCGGCTGATGGGCGGCGATCGTGCTCATCTGGCTTTCGTAGGGAGGGCAGAGTACGTCACCACGTCTCACGACATGGGACACGGCATCTGCTCGTTCAGTTCGAAAAGACTTGGCCGTGGCTTCGAAGCGGCACTGAGACACTGGAACTAATACCGCTTCGGCAAATGGCACAGAACCTTCTCTGTAGTCCTGCTTCTCATACATGTACACAAACAATTTTTATTCGGCCTCAACTCATCTGCTTTTACTTTTGAGTAATGATGATCAGATAAACTCGGTATCAGCTTGATGAAGGGTAGCGATCCGCCGGTGACAGTATTCTTTAACTAAAAAGTAGAGGGGCTGTCACGATTCGTTCTGGTTCGCGAATTTCGCCGGCATTGGGCGGCAGGGGAATTGACCAGTCTGAGGTGGCATGTAGTAATTCACTCATGAGCCGATGGTGTCACGCAACGGGTGGACGGATAGCTAGCATCCGGGGTGAATTGTCTGTCCACTTTCGACCTGTCGTGTCCCCTGAGACTTCAGCGAGCCGCCCAATACGGAGATATTTCTCATGATGGCTGAGACTGATATGCGATGAGATGCCACCGGTGAACGCTATTTTGCGGTGAGAGCCAGATTTGTTCGTATCAATCCAGGACAGCTCAGACATGAAGCCAAGCCACCTGTGCCTTAATTTGCTCCCGCGGCTGGGCCAAGACTGATCTGCTGTGTCAGCGAACCTTGGCCAATGGCGTCGTAGCAAAAGAATCTGAATTCATCTGCGGTGAAAGCTCAAAAAGCTCTGCTTTGCGGGGAAAGCGTCAGGTAGCTCTGTGTCTCAGACCAATCGTAGAGACATGCCCTCAACTCACATGAAATGTCTTGCCTCGTATCGCTCTGTACAACATGCCAGCAACAGCGATCGGCATGTCATGTACCCTGTCGGCGATCTCCGTCTTCCAATGAATGAGGTTGGAATACTCATCCTGTCCGAAATCCTGCAGGCGGTGCGGCCCGTCCGGAGGACGTTTGGAGCCGTTTGCACCACCGTGCTACTTCGGGCATCAAATATCCGTCGGCCGATCTCTTTTCTTTTTTGTGCGGCTGGGAGATGCTCCCTTTCCCCTCATCTCCGGACTCCCCCCGGTCTGCTGACCGACATGACACAGCGCTAGATATGTCTCACGAGTGACAGCCCATGGTAAGAACCGAAGCTCCTCCTCAATTCTCAACCTCTACCATCTCAACCTCCTCCAAGTACAACGAGTATGTCTAACTCACGGCTTGCGACATATACCTCAATCATGAGTGGTCCCCTGACAACATTCTCCCCTCACTCCAGGGCGCCACAATCTGCATGTCTCCGGCTAGCATAGGAGAGAGGCACGACAGGCAATGCTGGCATTTTGACTCCAGATATGTCGGCGATGTGTCTCAGTCACTGTACCGCATTGGGAGAGTTTATTCAGTACGGTATCACATTCCACCTTGTTCCGAGGGTGAACGGAAATGCCTCGGTGCGCCGGGATACCCTTCATGCTCATGCAGATCCGCAGTGAACATCCGCTTGACTGGACGCCACTCAAGTCTCCATCATGAAGTGAGGGGATCTTGGAAATCTCGAGGTGAGGGGGTGTTTCGTATCTCTTGGCCAAGCGGTCAGCAAATATGAGTGTCATTTGATTGAGTGTTGAGATTGCTATATGAGTACCATAGCAGAGCCTCTTGGTGTGGGCCATGGATTCACGAACCTCACTTCTCATCTGCTTCGCCTAAACTCTCACCCCTATACTCCAAAGCAGCGGGTGGAACATGACTACCAACTTCACCCAGAAATTTCAGGCCGGGGAGTCTTATGGAGATGCGCGCCAAGACTCGGCCAACTTCTTCAATGACCCGGCGAAGATTGCAGCCGACATCCTGAAGGACTATGTCTCTGTACGCGGTCAAACCTCCCCGGCGGAGCTTGTCGGCCTCATCAAAGAGCTCCTCTCCAAAGGCGAGCCTCTTGATGACAAGAAAGGGTGGGAATGACTATCAATGAGTTTGATCTGACTCTTTTCTAACACGAAGCAGAACAACCGAGATCCTAATTGGAATTCTCACATCTCTGCCTGCCACCTCCAAGGCCAGGACAATGCTCACCAACAAGCTCATTGACACATTATGGGGAAATCTTCAGCATCCCCCACTAAGCTATGTTGGCGGTGACATCAAGTACGATGCTCTCAATGAAGAAGGCGTAGTTCTCGATAGCAATGGACAGCCTCAGACGAAAGAGCCTCAAGCTACAGACTCGATTGAGTTCACTGCTCCTGGCACCAACATCCGTCTCCGTGAACAAGTACCGCAGGCGCCGGACGGCTTACATCACTACCGCTCTCCCGATGGCAGCTTCAACAACATTCTCGAGCCCAACTTGGGCAAGGCTGGAACGCCCTACGCCAAGTCGGTCAGAACATCCAAGAGACTACATGGCGTCAAGCCTGACCCGGGTCTCCTGTTTGACTTGTTGATGGCCCGTGACGAAGGATCCTTCAAGGAGAACCCTGCTGGTATCTCTTCGATGCTGTTCTACCATGCCTCCATCATCATTCACGACATCTTCAGGACCAACCGCACCGACATGAACAAGAGCGACACATCATCTTACCTGGACCTGGCACCCCTGTACGGTTCATCCCTCAAGGACCAGCTTGAGATCAGAACTATGAAGGAAGGAAAGCTCAAGCCCGACACATTCCACGAGAAGCGCCTGCTCGGACAGCCCGCAGGCGTCAATGTCATGCTGGTCATGTACTCCCGTTTCCACAACTACGTCGCCGATATTTTGCTCAAGATCAACGAGAACGGACGCTTCACACTGCAAACCAAGCCCAACGCCACAGACATTGAGAAGGCCAAGGCTGTTGCCAAGCAAGACCATGACCTCTTCAACGTGGCGCGTCTCATTGTGGGCGGTCTTTACATCAACATCTCGTTGCACGACTACTTGAGAGCCATCACCAACACGCACCACTCGAAGAGCGACTGGACCCTCGACCCTCGCGTTGAAATTAACAAGCAATTTGACAGCGATGGCGTGCCCCGCGGCGTCGGCAACCAAGTCAGTGTCGAGTTCAACCTGCTGTATCGCTTCCACTCTTGCATCTCCAAGAAGGATGAGAAGTGGATCGACGGATTCTTTGGCAAGATATTCAAGGGCAAGCAGCCTGCGGACCTCCAAAATATCAGCATTGAGGAACTGGGCAAGGCTTTTGTTGATTACGAGCAGTCGATCCCCAAGGACCCAAGCGTCCGCACCTTTGACGACTTGAAGAGACAAGAGGACGGTACCTTCAAGGACGAGGATCTGGCTCGTATCCTCAAGGAGGCCATGAATGACCCGGCTGGATGCTTCGGTGCGCGCATGGTGCCTAAGGCTCTCAAGATTATCGAGGTTCTCGGCATCAATCAGGCGCGTAGGTGGCAAGTCGCGTCGCTGAACGAATTCCGAGAGTTCTTTGGCTTGAAGAAGTATGACAAGTTCACCGACATCAACTCCAACCCCGATATTGCCAGCCTCCTTGAGAAGCTTTATACCGATCCTGACATGGTCGAGCTTTACCCTGGTAAGATGACCCTGACTGAAGTCCACTCTAAGGGAATATCTAACGTAAGATAGGACTCATGATTGAGGACATCAAGCCGGTTCGCAACACTGGCAGCGGCATCTGCCCGACGTACTCGGTCGGCCGAGCCGTTCTCTCTGACGCCGTCACACTTGTCCGCTCAGACCGCTTCAACACCATCGACTATACCGTCAGCAACCTGACAGCGTGGGGCTTCAACGAGGTCCAGCAGGACTACAAGACCCTCGGTGGCTCGATGCTGTACAAGCTCATTCAGCGAGGTCTGCCCAACTGGTTCCCCTACAACTCCGTAGCTGTCATGCAGCCCATGTACACCAAGAAGATGAACGAGACAATTGCAAAGGAGATTGGCACCTTCCACTTGTACACCCTGGAGGACCCAACACCTCCACGCAAGGCCATCATCACCCAAACAAGCGGGGCCATCAAATACGTCTTGAGCAACCCCAAGCAATTCGTCTTGCCGTGGCTCAGACCTCTCCAGGCCATGTTCACGGATTCCAAGAGGGACATCAGCTGGTTCATGCTCGCGGGTGACGAGCAGAAGAACTACCAACACCGCATCAACATCAAGAAGGCGCTCAGCAAGATCCCGACCCTGCACAACGCGATCCACGAGTTCATCGATCGCGTGGGCGCAGAGCTCGTCAAGAAAGAGACATTCAAGATGAAGGAGGGCCTGCACCAGATGGATATCATCCGCGATGTTGCCATCCCTTTGAACGCTCAGCTCCTTGCTGACCTCTTCTACTTTGACCTGCGCACTGATGAGAACCCCGGTGGTACCCTCGGCCATGCTGAGCTCTACAATCACTTGCTCAACGTCCGCATCTGGGGAGTCAATGATAACGATCCAGCTCAGTCGTGGAACCGTCGCCGCCGCGCGATCGAGAGTGTCAACGTTATCATCGAGTCGACGGCTGGGCCCGTCAAAGAGGTCCATGCCGGTCGTGGTCTTGGCTTTGGTATCGCCAACGCCATCTCGAGCGCGGTCGGTCGCAGAGCCAACTTCAAGAAGGATTCGCTGCGTTCGTGTGGCTACAAGTTTGTCGAGGAACTCTTGGCGCAAGGAAACTCGGTCGATCAAGTGGTCGACAACATGTGGCTTACTGCATTCGGCGGCATCGGTGTTCCTGTCACAACGGTAAGCTTTGCCCACCTTAGCAATGGTGGAGGTATCGCGGACTAACCCTGGCTTCAGTTCTACGAAGTGTTATCGTTCTTCTTGCGCCCCGAGAACGCCTCCATCTGGGCCGAGGTACAGAACCTCGCACAGAACAAGGACGACGCAGGACTCCACGCCTATGTTCGCGAGGCACAGCGTCTCACCAGCGGGCAGCGCAACGTGTGTGTTGCGACGGCACCGGCCGAGATCGACGGCAAGCCAGTCCAGCCGGGCACTGCAGTCGTGATGCTTCTTGTGAGTCTATCCTCTCGGCCCATTATTTGGTCCTGTGCTGACAATGATCTTCTTTTTTTAGGGCGGCGCTGGACGAAACCCAGGCGAGATTGCCAACCCCGACAAGTTCGACGCGAACCGCAAGGCCGAGGAGGTTTCTGCCTTCAGCTACGGCCAGCACGAGTGCTTGGCCAAGGATATTGCCACGACGTTCGTCGTCGGACTCGTCAAGCTCGCCGCTGATCTCAAGCAGCTGCGGCCGGCACCGGGCCAGATGGGCATCGTCAAGACTATCCAGGTCGGCAGCGAAAAGGCCTACCTGAACGACAGTTGGTCTTACCTTGGCTTTGATGCCAGCAGTAAGTGCACTCCTCAACTCGCGCGTTCTTTCTTCCTTTCAGAAAAGCAATGCTGACAACCCAAACAGCCTGGAAGGTTCACTTTGACGGCCACGGAAAGGGCACCTACAAGGGCGATGCTGCTGCGCCGAACAACCAGATTGACTTGGGACAGTATTACTACCTTCTCAAGCAGCGCAAGGAGAACTTGCTCAGTAGCCTCGGTGGGCCGGCCACCATCCGTGCTCAATGAGCGAGGATTGCTCCATTGTCATTGAAGTTTGTGGGAGTCAGGTCAGGTTGACAAAGGCATCGCCATGGGTTTCTAATGTGATATTACTCGCGATGGAGACATGTAAAGGCATACTCCGAGCAAAAATAAAACAGAGTTTCCCACAGGCTTCACTTGGTGATTATGTAAATCCACCAATTGACTGGGTCCCCCACACTCCCGGAAGCCGAGCAGAAATGATGCTTTTCCCTAGCTGTTGGTGTCAGCCGGTGCGCATCAGAGTTTCGGGTAATCGCAGTTAGCGGACTTACCTTAACTCAAAACGCTGCACCTGGAGCTCGGTCTTTGGCGATTGTCAGCAATTGAGTTTAACAATCACACAGCTTGTTGATTGAACGGTTCGTCGCAAGAATGAGCCAAGGACCAGTTTTCGAGATGCGACTTTGAGGCTGAAAGGGGGCAAGAAATGCTAGCCGTCATCCGAATGAGGCAAGGAAAAGGCGAGAACCCCCAAGACGGGAGTTCAGGGGAAAGTAGCGTAGATCGTTCTTGGCCGCTTGGCCAACGCCCATTCTCCGTGAATCGTGGGGATTTCCTCCGGGAGACAACCATGTTTAGCTCCCCATCCCGAGTACCGAGAACTGTGCACAGTATTACTGCATACCCATACCATGCGGATAGAGGGATGCTACCGATGAGACTGGGTCGCGTACGGAGTAGGGATTCTCGTATTGTCCCTCGTTGACTGATTCTGTCGTTTCGGACGACTCCTGATGTGCTGCCAGTTCATCCTGTGTCATCATCGCCCATCCACTTTGGCAGTTTGTCAGCTCGAACCAATTTCGCTTGACACCGAACATGGAGTAGGGTCTTTGCGTGTTGTGTGTGTGGTGGTTCCAGTGGAGACAAAGGGGGCAACATTTCGCCGTACTGATGGGCACAGATGGCGCCTATTTCTGTTAGTTTCCGCGGCAAGTTGATTAAACTCGCGCGTCACTTTAATTGCCGTTGGGTTACTGTCGGCCTCTTACACGGCAACACGGCCCCCAACATGGCCAGCGCGTGCCTGTTTCCGAGGAGTATCATCCGTAGGGGAATGCAAAATTTTTGCATCATACAGCAGTAAATCTGCTGCGTCACGTTCTTTGATGGCAAGCCAAGAAAGTCAAAATAAGCGTATGGCATACAAAAACAGAAACTTAAACGCCGCTTCTATAGGGTAAACACGAGACAGCTTCAATTTGGACGACCATCGATTAGTAACCCGCACCGACTTTGACTGAATCATTCCAGAGACCCAGTGTCATCTCATAGTAATTGTTCTCCGTCTCGTAAGGTGCATACGGATACTGTATTGTGGAAGCAATTTGGGTCATTCCGTCGAACCCTTTTACAGGGATTCCCTGATCTCAAAACAAAAGGGCCCAGAGATGTTACACCAGGTGCCGGCAACGTCCTCCAGGACCATCAACCGTACATGCAGATCTCGCCACAAAGGGAAATACGCACTCGACTCCTGGCCCACGGGTTCAGTGATCTCTCAAAGAGGAGCGAGAGCGAGCCAACATGACCTACTGTAGTGTACTCTGTACTCCATACTCCGTATTCCTGTAACCCTGCGTCTGCCGCACCTATCCAGCCCGTCTATAGCATTAAACCCACTTAAAAGCTGTATCGTTGAAACATTTCTGGATCCAGAGGCGAGAGAACCCATTTCGAGATGATATGAACCGTTATGGTAATTGCCAGTTTGGATGATTCCACCAATAAGGCAGCGTGGGTACATCATCATTGAAGCTTGTATATAAAGAAAGTAGATCAGCTTCTCTCGGCGTTCGATCAGTCATTCGCAGCCCATCCATTTACAAACAGTCATTCTTTTCACTCCACCAACTACCAACATTCCCTTCTAACCCAACCTACTATCACCGCCAAGATGCCTTCCACCACCCAGATGCTCTCCGCCCTGGCCGTCACGGCCGTCGCCGGCGTCCAGGCCGCCATGGGCCCGGCCTTCAGCACCGGTCCCGTCGCCTCCGACTCCTTCATCCGCGAAGCCACCTCCACGCTCGTCCTCCCCGCCGCTCCCTCCAACAACAAGGGCAGCGCCTCCCTCTGGGTCGGCATGGGCACCTCCAACGGCGACCTGATCCAGTCCATCGCCGACAACTCCAACTACGACAACACCGGCACCGACAAGTGGTCCATCTTCGCCTACACCCTTCTCAGCACCGGTGCCAACTCCCAGATGCCTGTCCAGACTGAGGGCACTGACGCCTCTGAGGGTGACAAGATCACCATGCACTGTAAGATTTCTCCTTGGAAGTCATAGAACCTGTGGCGTGTTGCTGATAGAGAACCCGCAGACAAGTTCGATGATGCTTCCCAGAACTACACCCAGACCGTCTCCATCAACGACAAGGTCGTCGCCACTCTGTCCACCAAGGATGGTGAGGCCCAGGGCTGGGGCAGCGCCGTTGAGTGCGCCGCTGAGGACTGCGGCACCGTTGGTGCTCACTGTAAGTTCACGCCCCCTACCTATCGGCATCTATCATCGGAACAGTTTCCTAACAACTTCCCCCAACAGCCTGGATCAACACCAAGATCATCCTCGACAAGGCCGACGCCAACTACATCAACACCATGGGCAAGGGCAACGGCGTCACCGGCGACATGTCCACCAGCGACGGCGGCAAGACCTGGACCGTCACCACCATTGATATCCCCGAGTTCACCTTTGGACAGTAAATGTGCTTGGCCACTTCAAGAGCTGAGCTCGTTTGCCTCCGGAAGGGAAAAGTTTTTCGTGTACTTTATACCATGCCTTCTCACACCCATCGCTGTACATACCCTGCTAGCCAAGATACCAAGTTGCGATTGTAAAATAACAAAACCTTCAATGGCCAAGAATGCAACTTGCCCATCTCTGACGCTCTGCATCACTCACCTCGCATAAGCCACTTCAATGCGTGAGCATATGTTGTCACCCAGTCACGGCCCGTATGTGTACAGAGGGTCTGCAATGAGGGTTGTTTCTTTGAAGTCCTCAAATATGATTTCTGCTCTCAGTTTTCACTTCTAGTCTCCTGATTCGTCACCATCATTTATGCTTCGCTACTCCTGGAAACTCATCGTAAATATGCGATGCCCAAGTGTTTTTGCCAGTGCAGGTCGTAGGTCCAGCTCATTCTTCTACGTGAGTCTTGATCCTCCATTCGAACATGCTTCATTCCTTCGGCCTTCATAGTGTGTTCGAGTAGCAGAGCAATGAAAGATTTTGCGGCTCTTCCACGGGAGGAACGGATTCCCTATTTGAAGAAGCCTTTGAGGAACTCTCACTGACTCCCAACAAATATCGACGCTCTTGACCTTGGCATTGATGAGACCATCGAATTCGTCTTCGGAAACATCCGTCTGACATTGATGAACGTGAGACTTATCCCAGGGAGATCTCGTCAGTACGAGGATTGATGTAGATACAATCGACGTCTGGGAGAAGGAAAGCCGCTTCGGCTCTTCGACGCGAAGGTCCAACCGCGCGCTGCGCAAGAGGTGGTCACAGGAGGAATTGCGCTAGTTGGTCTTTCTGCAAGCGGAAAAACGTCAGCTTTTACTGTCACTTAAAGAGAGAGGGCCATTGGCGAGAAGTTGATATTCCTGGGTCATGCCGCCCTTCTTCGAACACCTCTGTTTGAACAAGAGGAAATGTCCTGGGGCTGAGGCCAGCCGGGCTTTGGAGACCAGTTGAAGTACGCTGTGGAGCGGATATTGATGATGATGCTTGGAGCAAAAGATGAATCCGCAGCAACACAGGTGAGGAGTTTCCCACCACATCGTGTGCATGCTGTCCTTGAATTAGGCTGGTGCATGCAATCCGGGGTTGAAGTCTTTGAACACATTTCGAGCTTCTTCGTTTCGGTGATTGAGATCGCCTGGCAGAGCCAGATTGTCGTCATGGAGCACATGGGCGAAGCAATGACGGCGCAAAGCATTCGTGGAAAGTGCGATAGTCTTCAGTCGTTTGAGCAAAATATCCTGATCTAGTTTTCCGTGAACTAGACCAAGCCGCGCGAGTGCGGGCATTGACGGTCGAGGGGACGGCAAGGGGCGGTCGGCAAGGGCGTTGAGCCATTCGACAAGGTCACGGGCCCTGGCTTTCTCTGGCGGTGAAAAGAAGCGATGTCGCTTTTCCTGGAGACCCTCGGACGGCGTCTTCATGATGGCCTCCAACCTTCTCTTGATAGCGTATCTGGGCATAAATATCTCGAGGGGAATCGCGCCTGGACCCCCTCGAGCCATCGTATAAATAGGGCCACGTCCCTCCGGGCCATAACCCCCTCAACGGTAGCAATGGTGCTCGATGACCTCGCGGCCAGTGACGGGCCCATAGGTAAGAGGAGAGCTGTCGGGCCAAAGCCCTGGCCGATGAGGCAGCCCCTTCTGCTATTTGAGCTCCGCCACGGTTGTTGAATGGTCAAAAGTGTTGTTGGACTTGGATGTTTGAACATTGTTTGAGCAAGACTCCAGGGCAGGGTAGTGTTCCCACCAGACTCTCCTCGGAACAATGTGAATTTGTGGTAAACGCCACTCTCATTATTCTCGGCTTTCTTGTCCCCGCCACCCGGTGACAACATAGAGGCCGTCGGAGTCTGAGGAAGAAATGGACCAGTTTTTGAACTCTTCTCCGTTGGGCAAAGACGTAATTCGAACTAGATTGTGAGTAGAGATTAGCGCTGATCCTGGCCTTCAAAGCAGGGGGGGGGGGACTTACCATATTTAGAACAGTGACTCTCCATGAAAGGAGTGGCAAAGATGAAGAAGCACCGCCGACACCCTCCAGTACCACCTCGGTCTTGGAGGCCTCAGATTGTTCAGTCTTTGACCTCTCAACGGCTGCAGGCTGTCTGTGAGGTGAGTACGGAAGAATCTGATTAAGCTGAAATAACCTCCCAGACAACCTACATTGCGGAAGATCTTGTAATTGGCTGAATTGGTAGTGAAATACCTACACTAAGCCAGTCAGATGTCATCTCGGGTGATAGAAGCAAGGTTGACATACTACTTCGTTCTGCAGTCCATCGCCATGCTGCTGCTCTTTGCTATGCAGGCCGTCAGCCAGTCGACGAGTCTTTACAACAGCTGGTAGCTACAAGTGACGCCCTGATAGCTGCGGATGGTGATGGTGACGACCAGATTCGATGGAATTTGTCGAGAATTTGCCACAGCGCCAGCGTTGAATGAGCTATTGTTGGCTGTCGGTGCCTCTGGTAGACAGGCAATAAATGCTTGGAGCCAGCTCCAAGTGCTGAAGCATGTATTCGAGCAAGCAACTCGGAGTTGTTGAGCTCCGCCGTCCGATATTAACACTTACGATGGAGTTAGCAGTTGCTCGGACGAGGATGGGAAGGTACGGACGATGAAGTATTTACAACTGCCTTGATATTCTCGAGGTGAACAAGTATTTGAACAATGAAAGTAAAGAAAAGAAACTCTTCCACAAAGAGTGTTGAGTGTGTATGAAGGGGAGTTGCTAATTTCTTCCGTCTGATGACAAGACTTGCGATGGCATTAGCAATTTCTCAGACGAAGAAAGGGACGAGGGGATAAACACATACAAATTTCTTGGAGCCGGACTCAAAGCGTTCAAGAAGACACCCCGGAATGAGTGGAAGAAGACAGAAGGCGGGACCGGAGGTACTCAAGCCTTCCGTCCAAAAAGAAATCTTGTGATGGCGTTAGCGACTGCTCGGATGAACGAGAAGAGCGCAGATGAAGACCTACTATCCTGCTTCGAGTTGAACTGGACGAAGGATTCGAACAAGGAATGGAAAGCGTAAAAGAACTCCGCCGATGGTGGCGGTAGGAGGCGGTCGGGGTAGTGAGAGGGGAACCGCTTTGAGCTCAAGGTCAAGGACCTGAGTCGGGGTGGAGAGAAAAGAAAAGAAAGGAAGGGTGGGTGAAGTCGGGGAGAAAGGGCTGCCTTTTATGTTGGGGAGGAGGGAGGGCCAGAAAATCTCAAAGGGTCGTTCAACCGCCCTCACGTGATGAACGGCCGTCTGAAAGACCCGACAGACGGAGCAGAACGGACGAAGTGAGGGAAGGAACGGCTGTGAAGGGCGATGGAATTTCGTCCAAGGAAGGGGGTGAGGTGATGCACAAGTGGAAGGAGGGCCTCATGATAGAGCAGGAAGGGGCGATGAAGTTTTTCACCAGAATATCTACCGAGGCAGTGATGGTACCTTACGAAAGAACAAAGTACACTAAGCACTATAAACCAGTGAATTCACTTGGTGAATAATGATGAGAAGCTATGAGGATGATGATCTTCTGTCAAGCTTCACCCCCGTTGGCATAAT